CTGAGTGGTTCATTATCTAATGTTAATTTTTCATGAACACGAAACCTTATTGTTTAATAGTTTTATTACGTTTTGAATAACTCAGTCTGTTATAATTATAACGAGTATCATTGTTTCTATAATCTGGTGAGAAGAAGGAGTTTATCAAGACTATGTGATATATTCGCGCAATACATTTCGTACAATCTGATCACGCATTTATTTCTTGAGTTATTTATGTATGAAAAAGTGAGTCAATGAGAAGAGTTGGAAGTTGAAAAAGAATTTGTGGAAAAACTATATAAGTCTCACCACTTTGGATACTAACTCAGTCTAACCAAACTGAGTTTAGTGTATACAAAAAGTATTTTTGAACATGTATTTGAAGGAAATCATTAACATTTCGTATGGCTAAGCCCGAGTACTCTCCTTAGAAACTTTTTCTCAACACTGTAAAGTTTGGGTTAGTGTCAATCTTATGATGTGTTTCAACTTTGGTCGCCAGTGAAAAAACATTCGTGCTTTTCATCTGCTCTTATTGGATCATTTGGTTTGATGTTTTTGTATGTAAGTGCTCAACCACTCTGATTTGCAAACTATGACTACCCCTCTTTATGTATGCGTCCACACACATATGTAAGTTGTAACATATAGAGGGATTTGACGTTGTTACTTACTCGATGGCTGCACTTTTGGTGAAACATGGACCTTGCTTTAAATAACAATCACCATAACTGCATATTACGCTCCATCGACGACCGATTTAAACCCTTAGTTTAACACAAGGTTATATGGCTTACCTTTTATTGCTAGGGTGGTATAAACAGACTTTTTGGACTAAAGAAGCACAGTAGGTCTCAACAAACTGTGTCCAATTAATCGATTTTTGAATTATAGTGACTATCGATTCTCTATCAATATTTAGTTTACTAGCTTCTCCTCGTCATTAATACAGTTAGATACGATCAACCCAAGTGAATAAGTCTCTGATCAAGCCTCGTTTTTATTGAACTGAACAATAACGATGAGAAATAGGATACTCCCTAGTTCTTGTGAGCTTTCTGTAGATCGTTTAGTTGAACCATCTTTTTTACTAATCATAGCTATATCGAAGAAAGGAACCTGATTGTTCTTTTCTTGTGTAAGATATACATGGTTTTTAAGGGCATTAAGCTTAACAAAAAATACTTTGTATTTGTATCAAAAAGAACTGTTTCAATGTTGATATTTTTAAAATCGAAGTATGTTTTTAGTTATTCTACTTTACACTTTCCTGAAATGAGGCTTTCAAAACTGTTTTTGTTTTGAATGTACCACCCCAACTTACGAGTTAATTGACATGTAGTAAATTTTCAACACTTTTTAGTTGTTTGATGTAAACATAAAAACTAAGTATAGAAATCAACGTTAGTCCTACTTTTGTTAGTCAACCTTTTTTTTCAACAGACTTTTTTGGCTGTAACAGTATGTTTTGATTTTAAGTTAAGCGGAGTCAACAACTGAAGTGATTTTCATTCGATAAATGGCTACAGTTGTACAGGGGGTCGTTTTTTTGAGAAATTTCGTACACATAGTTCCGTTTATCATTTTGAAAAGAGTAAGAACAAAAATTCTAGCAGAATAGCATGAATTCATTTTTTATTACGTAGGTTCTCATCAGCTGCTTACAACCTGTGATATTTAAAAATCATTATTACATAATGGGTTTAAATCACCTGCATGAAACGGTTTGGTTGGAAGTTATATTGAAGACACATTAGTGCAGTGTAGCAAGGGTGTAAATAAATTTGATAGACTGAATATTGTAAATATATACATTATACAAAAGAAAATTCCACAATATTGATTTTGACAATAGATAAAACGGCCAGAAACACGTGATTACATAATGAGTTAACGCTGATAGGAATAAAATGAGTATAGCTCAGTTAATAAAATAAAATTACTTATCTGGAAGACAGTTGAAATAAAAACTCAATGATGAAATAAATGCAGAGTTTAAAAAAAGTTTAAGATGCATCAAAGAAATATTTGTTATCAAGGCAAGAAAATATAAATAACCATCTCCTTTTGAATAAATAAATCAAGTTATAAGCAGCTGATAAGAATCAACGAAGTAAAATGAATTCGTGCTATTCTGCTAGAATATTTGTTCTCTCCCTTTTCAAAATGGATATAGATTAGCTCAGACTAAACTACAGTTGTTTTCATTATGAATTTCATCTAATTTTGTTAAACTGGATTATTTATAGAAGTTATTACCTAGTGACTTTGTTAAGTTAGTGATAAATTTGTTTAATGAATTGGTTAAAATACATATGACGGATGCTGCTTGACAAATTTCTACATATAAAGGTGATACGTAGGCGGTCCGCTTGAGATACACATACACCAAAAAAGACTGACTTAATATGAATATGGACATTTAAACAGTACTTAAGAAATAAAATAATATATTTGTAATATCCCAATGGGTAGAGAATTAGATTTTCTGACGTTTCGTGACTCAATATCACCCACTTCTTCAGAGAATAAATAATCAGATCAAAATTAATTCAAGTTTAAATAGTACAGAGGAACAACGCAAGAATATTATGAGCGATCAGTCAAAAAACAAGTTTTAACAATTCAAGTACTTAAGAAATAACTGGAATTCATCCCGGTTGCATAATTTAGTGGCTTTATGTACTCAGTAGCTAAGTGAACAACGCTCTGAGTTTTTGAAGTGATAGGTACTATATTCAAGTCCTGGCGTGAAAAATAATACTAGGGTCAATGTAGACCCAGCAAACGAGTCCTAAATAACATTCCACGTCTAGCCACTATCCAACTATACTTAAAATATAGTTGGTTTATTTAATTAATTTTAATTACTGCAGTGTATTAAGTAGGGACTCTTTTAAATCAAAGGTATTAAACTAAAATGCACGTTAATTTTAATGTAATTTATTTAAAATATATCTTCTAGTAATTAAATTATTTACTTCCATTCATTCGCTTGTAGAACCAACAGCTATAATAAGTACATCATTGATCAACACAGTAACATCACATCTCTAGTCTAGTTGAAGTATGTTTTAAGCAGACGTTATCATAGGATAAAACACAATCATAATCTTAGACTTTCAAAAAAGACATGAAATAATTTTTTAAGTAAGCTCTACATCAAATCAATATTGTACAATGACTGTTGGCAAGACAAAGTGTAAGACAGTTATCCACAGTTTTCACAATTTGTTCAATGGCTAATACATTTAAAAATTAATATTATAATACCTGAATAGTTTTAGAAAAATCCTATTATTCAGTTATATAAATTGGGGAGATTAGCTCAGTTTGAAGAGTGTTTTCATCAAAAATTACCTTTAACTGAAGAACTAGGGACTGTTTACTCATTTGGTACTGAATAAAAGTGTTAAGCACAGAGGTGCTTGATGAATTACTTTTTTTATTGTGTATTTCAAAAAAATGAAATTCAGATAAACTTAAATAAGAAATCTAATTGTCATTCCTACTTGAAGAAATAAGATAATAGCGATTGTGAAAATAAATGCTCCACAACATGGTACTTCCGACAATATCTTACGTTTATAGTAACTTTCCATCTTCTACATTATATTACTTAATTAGGTGTCCCGAATTAGTTGACTGAACAGACGCGTTTTATGAATAGAAGATTTACTATAATCTGTAAGACATGTTAAAATTTCCTAAATACATGATAAAACTTTGTCCAAAAAAACGTTTTTAGACATAATTAAAATGTGAAGTAATAAACTTTTAAGTTGATTACTTTCTCAAACTTCTTTAGATAAAAAGACAGTTCCGAACAAAATCGTAAACTCCCTGTATTTAATTGGTTAGAATAAGTGCTTTTCAAAGTGATACTAAGTGTTCAATGATCATGGTACTATATTTAAGAATTGGCTTCACTTGAGTTTGTTCTATAAAGACTTCCGTTTTACAGCATTTTGAATAATGTGTTTCACGTTGACAAATGTTAATAACCTTAATTATAAGTTGAAAGTTCTGACATTATTAGACTACTGAAATCCACCACATATCTTCACTGACTTTTGTGCATTACCTACAATCATGAAAAAAAATTTAAACGATTTTCATAAATATATGTAAAGAGTGTATTATACATGCAATGAACGAAACTTTGATGGTTTAAATTATATATATAACGTTGAGAATATAAGCTAATCATATCAATGATCTTATTGCTGTTAAATTGGATTTCAATGTAAATCAAAAATCATTATATCTCATGTAGAAAGTATAAACCATATACAAAATGTGTAACAGAAATACTGTGTACTGATCAAACAACAGTATATAGAGTATAGTTATTATTAACTATCTAAGATCAAAATGTTAAACTAAATGCTCATATACTCTGATATCCGGAATCGTATGTGTAAATTATATAGGTCATGTTTATATTAATTAATTCAGTGATCATCAGTTTAATGTTTTAAATATTCGTTTACAATCTGTCAGCAATTTATTGACCATGGATTTGATTGAGCTTTCGCATTGTCAGAGAAGTGTTTTTATTCTTATGAATATCTACTGAATTAGTAGGTACCGTTACCAAGGTTTGATTTGGTAATTTCAAATAAATTGAGCATTGGGTAAATTGTTATAAATAAATAACATATTTGTAATATCCCAATGAGTAGAAAATCTCATATATATATATATATATATATATATATATATATATATATATATTATTTATATCATATTATTTATTTATGTACTGGATTGCTTTTTCAACCAGTTACGGTTCCTTAGCCTTTGTAAGATTTGTTATCATATGAATAAACTAAACGCTCTTAAAAGTACAATACAAAAGTACGTTACAATGATTATCCGTATGTAAACGTCTAATTGAGTTTTCGTTTTTTTAGAAGTCATTTCATCTTTCTTCCTACCATTATCATATAAGAACGGATTTGTGATGAAGTGTTGTAATTTTCGAATTACTACTGTTAACATTAAATCAATAATAATTTTGTTCCTAATGAACTGAATTTAGTCTTAATACTTGTTGGAAAGTCTGTGTGGGTATTAACCTAAACAAACATAATGAACTACAACACTTAACATTTTGACCTCTTACTCCTCAATATTATTGTGATGTAGAAATGTTTCGTAATCGATACTTAATACTAACACTCACCCTATTTAAAAAAACCATATATATATATATATCAAGTGTTGTTCATATAAGTCAGTCTTATTGTATCCTTTATGTTACCGTTTATTCCTCAGCTTGGCAAAATCTATCGTTACTAGATGAAACTAACATCGAAAGTGATGATAATCCTTAAGAAATCATATCATTATATATATATATATATATATATATATATATATGCTCAATAGCGTAAATAAATCACGAAGAAAGATCTTCATCACCCTTAGTTCGAAAAAAGGAAAAAAAATGCTTAGTAATTTAAAAAAAAACAATTTTGACATGCCAAATTTAACACTTCAGTTACATCAAACAAACAAACAATAACAACAAAAGAAAACACAACCTAAATATAATGAGAATCTTTATGCGTAGGTGATTATCTTCCGATTGGTTATTGTTTGAAATTATAATTTTGACAAGGAATAGAAATAAAGCATTCAAAAAACACAATGAAACATCAAATAGATAAATAGTTCCTTGACAAAATATTTACAATTACGGAAGAAATATTTCCTCTAAAATATCACCTGGTACATATTTACTTAATTTTGTTTTTATTTGAAGTACAATTTTTAATATACGTGAGTTATTTAAACTAATTTTATTGTAATTTTGTATGAATATTGTGTTAATATCAGAAAGGATTTTTGTGGATATTAATAGTTGTGATTATGAGTTAATTGAAGCTAGACCACTATAGAAAACTTGGAAGAACTGGACAGCCATTTCGTCCTATAGTAGCATTCCTCAGCAGTGCACATTCACAATTCTACCTCGTGAGATTCCAACTCATAATCTATCGGTCTCGCACGCGAACACTTAAAATCCAGACTACTGAGTCAACATCGAATGGTGCTAATGTCTAACTTCAACTAATCCACGAAATTGAATGACACATCCACTATTGTCTTCAGTGAGTTACTATCTCACAACAGACTCGGTTGAACTCCACTGGTCACTGCTAGTGTTAGTTGACAACTCAATTTATTGTTATTTATTCATATAATGTATGTATGTTTTTAATAGATTAAAGTAATCAGATAGAGATTGTTTTGTTTTGTTTTTGTCTGTGAACTGTTTATCAGATCTGAATCAAGGAATAATTATGAATATAATAAATATTTTCTATTATTATTTATTAATTGGTGTAAACAATGTTGAATATTGAATATTTTCAATAAACAGTGTAAATTCAATGATGATAATAGGCGTAAAATTTGAATAATCAGTTGAACAATATTGAAAAAGAAAAAAAATACAGAGTAATAATAAAATATGGTTGTAATTATAGATTGAACTTATTAAAGTTTAATTTGTAGTAGAATGAAGTCAGAACAATTAGGAATATTTGTTTAGTCTTTAATTTATGTTCGTCCATTTCTAATATTAAAATTTTCCTCTAGGTTATATATATTTTTTGTTTTAATCATTTTTAATAATAATGTTGAATTATAGAAAAAATTTTGTTCTCATATGTAAAATACATGTAAATGTATTAGTTATTATATATAGTTAAATAGAAAACATACTTAGATACATAAAAACAAAATGTCTATTATCAGAAGGGGTTTTGTGGAGATTTTAATGATTTCAATATTTGAAATCATGAGTCAATTGAAACTAGACCATCATGGAAAACCTGGAATTCGACCAGGTCTGTTGTGAGATATCAGCTCGCTGAAGACATTGATGACGGTGGCGCAATTCCGTATATTTGTTGAAGTTAGACATCAACACCATTCGATGCTGGTTCAGCGATCTAGAGGCTAAACGTTCTCGCGCAAGACCGATAGGTCCTGGGTTCGAATCCCTCCAGAGAGATCGTGGATGCTCACTGCCGAGGAGCCCCATACTAGGACGAAGCGGTCGTTCAAGTATTTCTATGGTGGTCTACCTTTAATTGACTCATGAATTCAACTATTAGACAAAATGTCTGTTCAACTAAATGTAGTTGACTGCCACACCTTCTCCACCGCGCATCATTTCGCTTCGCTCTCTCCTATTCGCTTCATCCTTCTCACTTCCTGTCCAGATCAATAAGTACAAAATAAACGTATTCTAAACTTCATTCCCGTATTTGAATTATTTAATTCCGTTATACAGTAATGCGATTTAAGTCAATGATTTTATACAAGCTTAGAGGATATGTATATTTCAATAACAGTCAAACACATGATATAACTGGAGTCATATAGAGGGTTATTTTGTGATATCGAATATCACAACTGGTAAGTAAAATGTTACTTTTTTAATGAACTGAACTTTTATATACACACACAAATTGTAAGTATATAGGAAAAATTTATGGAGCAAAATACATTTATCTTGTTACCTAATATTGTACTTTACAATCAATTATTTTTAGAATTAAATTGATCATTTTCTACCGACATAGTAACCTTTATGTACGGATACCTTGATATTGCCAAACTACAGCTAACAATAGGGTTAACAGCGTATATATTATAATATCAGAATAATATCTACACTATGATAGATTGTTTTCAATATTTGTAATTAAGTAAATTATCTGAGAGTGAAACATGTGAAATCCAGTAAAAATAACTGAATAAATGAATATTGCTTAAATATGTAGACAAATGTTTTAGAATTATTTCCAAGTATTATAATAATAATAATAATAATAATAATGGTAATAATAGCTCCTTATTTCTCCAGTGCAAATATCTGTAAATTATCAGTAGTAAAAATCAGTTTTTGATTGTGACCATGAACTGATTAATGTTAGACCACCATTGAAAACCTGAAAGCATTCGATGGCCGTTTCATCCTATTGTGAAACTCCTCGGCAGTGCTCATTCACGATTCTTCTTGCGGGATTTGAACCCAGGGCTGGATTTTGTGATAATTCTATTATTAAAACTGTATAGTTAAACGGAAATCAGAATAAATCAGTTTAGTTTATAAGTTCAACAGAACGCTAGAGAAAAAATAATTGTAAAATTTTAACATTTGAATAGGTACATATAAATAAGTAGGTAGCATCAGACAGTTTCAAAACCAAACTCATTAAAAACAGATGTCTTTGCTGAAACATTCTGGTATATATTTTTATTTTGGTAGCCAGTATTTTCAGTAGTTGTTGACCTAAACATCTCATCATTCAACTGAAACGTAACAGATAATAAGATGTAATCTATTTTAAAATTAAGTAATAAATATCCCTAAGAATTTCAATTTGTTTCTTCGTATAAAATAAACTGTGAAAGCTTATTTAACATTGTAGTTTACCCAAAGTAATCTTTTGTTTAGTCAGATAAAACATAATGACCGTTTCATATTTCCATCTTTTTTTAATTTACTTTTTTTTGAACAGACGCTAATAATAAATCTAATTGAAATACATTTGTAAAACCATTTTTTTCATTGTGGTAACAATAGAAAATCAGCTTTATACTAAATAAATAGTAAGTAGTCGAAGTATATTACTTAATGAAATTCAGGTTATGTACTTCATAATTTAGTAGTAAGTTGTCGCTTTAAGGTTGTTTACAGCATGTTACGTAATAGTAAGATTAATATTCAAAATCATCATATATTTTTATAAATAAATTGATTATTTATGTGAAATTACTCAAAAATATTGACTACTGAATTTACATTTATCCTTACCCATAAAACTGTATCAGTACAATATCATATTATCCTTGTCCAGTTTGTGCATATGACTTGAACACTTTTGTACTTGATATGATTAATTATGTAATTTAAGTTATTAATAGGATAAACACGAATATTTACTACTGAACGTTGTTTAGTAAAATTGTTAATGAAATCATTTCACTTACGATTTTTGCTAATGTAACTGTTCAGTCTTATTATTGTTGAGTATCTAAAATTTATAAACTAACACATTTAAGTACCAATGATTCTTCTACTATACTTAAGTATGACTTAAAAGCAGGCTGTTTATTTTCTGTTATGTAGATTGTATGAAGTTACATTTTTCCCATATTTATGATAGTATATCCGTGATAAACAAATAACTAAAGCGTTAACGAGTACTGAGCTAAAAGATGTTACCTATAGTTTTAAACTTTCCATTAATGATACCATGTAGAAAAATTACAATTTTTAAGTGAACAACCTTTTTTTCTCTAAATTTCAATCTTATGATATCATTCGTGCAGAAGATAACTAGGTGATATACTTTTGTTGATTCATTTATTTATTTATAAAATGTTACAAATAAATAAACAACTTGAATGGATTGATAATTTCAAAGTTACAATTTACTTCAAAAGTATTTCTTTATTGTTTACTTTATTTCTTTAAATCTTTTTCATGATTCAATGTGTATGTTAAAAAGTGTTCTTTGTTGTTCAAAATAAGAGAAATATTATTATTACATGAAATAAGTTGCATTATAAAGAAATCAAAAAAAAGAAAAAAAATTATGTATCTGGTATTCAATTGAATGTATTGAATACATTGTATCTATGAATAAAGTAATTAAAATATGCTTAATATTTGACTGTTTAACATGGACTGATTTGTACATTATATTGATATGAATGATGAATATATGATGGGATGGTGTTTTATATAAATTCTCTTCAAGTGACATTAAAACTATATAAGATATTTTGGAAATTCTTAATAAGCTATCGAAATAACTGAGCTTACGAGAAACAAATTGTATATGATAAGAAAAAGAGATTATCTGTCATTTCATGGTAATGAGTTATATATTGATTTATTGATTTTTGATCAGATTGTCAAATTTCTGTTGTAAAATAAACCCTGTAACTACGCTGACATTTTAATATAATGATAGAACTGACAAGTTGTATTTCATGTAAGGTTCATAAGCATTAGAATTTGGATGATATATGGTATATTGTAGTTTGAAACTTATAGTAATTTTAGCAATTTATGTTTGAAATACGTAGATTATTGTATTTAGTCAGTTGAGAAAAAATAAATTCCCGCATAAGCATTAAGTTATACAATTATTATTATAGAATTATTACTGTAGAAAGTTGAAATATTATTTATTTAAATACATAAACATCAGTACAAGAAGGCATCAAACAGATATGCATCACATAAATCACCCAATTTGTGTGAGTTAAGATACTGCCCAAACACCCTAACCGAAACAGATAGTTTTCTTAAGGGGCCACTCACCGAGCCCTTGACTTACAGGTCTAATCCACAAAGCAGTGAAGCAACGTCAGGAGATTCAGTCCCATGGTAGTCGATGACCAAAAATTGATTCATACGCCATTTGTTCCTTCAGGATTCTTGAGCCCATGTGCATTATTGGTTTGGAATCAGGGTTTCCCAACTCCCTTAGGTGGTTCCTCTTTGTCCACCAACCCGGTTGGAGCTCCGTACATTCGATTTTCGTTCTCTCAGTTTCGTAAATAACAAATCTGGTGCCAGAAAGCAGTGAGTAGAACTTTCCTGGTAGTGATTGTACACACGTGTCCATGTGAGAACATTTCGAGAGAGAGAGAGAGAGTGAGCTGACTTTCTCCTCTCTTGGTTGTAACAGGACATAAATAAAATATGTTACAAGCCATCATTAGTGAATTATCATTATTAATGATGGAAA